CCAAAAAAAAAAAAAAAAAAAAAACACCTTACAAGAAAGTTTCCCCTGAGGTACATGTGATGATATTCCAGTGGCAGGATTAAGCTAACCATCTAATGACATCTAAGAATATTCTTCATTAGGACACAGGACATGAATCCCCCCTAACCTTCTCTAGTTTTTACAGCTAGACTGATAATAAAATAATAAAATTGACACAGGACTAGATTAAAAGGAGAAAAAAACAATTTACTATGTGTGAATGAAGGATCATAATATAATGCTCAAATCTAATGCTAGACAAGTGACTCTATTTTATAAGAACACTATAATTGCTAATACAATTCCTACTTTCAAGATGAAGAAAGAGATCTCTAATTCTACTTTGGGACTTATTACAGGTATTAGACAAATCTAGTTAGAGCAATCTTTTTTAATCTCCACTCTTCCAACCCTTAGAAAATATGAGCATCTGTTCCATTTCAGGTGTGTGAAGAAAACTGGTATCTATAAAATCTTAGGTCACAGAACTTATTTTCCTTATTCCTTCAATTGCAAGGTTACTATTAATTGTTTCAGGAATTATTATCCTCATGTCCATCAAAGAAACACAGTACTTCTGTAAATCATTTAGAAATCCTACAGGGTTTGTTTCCTTTGTTAGGTGGTGGTGATTAGATAATTTGCATACACATGAACACTCCAAAATGAGTTTTTGAGTTCCAGAAAGAGAGACTTATAGTTGTTTTTGGTATACAACTTTCCCAGCTGTAAGCTGTGAAGTGGTAGGAATCAGGCTTTCTTATGTCAAATCCTATTCTCCTTTTATACCACTCTGCTAATTCTGACCCTCTTAAGACCTCTAACATCTATGCTGCCCACTGACCTTTTAAGGACATTAGTATCTACTAATACCTACTTTGGGCCAAGAATTTTACAGTATCATGGGGACTCACTTAATTCTAGACATCTGTAGGATGGTGCTATTTTATCGATCAAGAAACATACTATCAAATGAGTACAAAAAAATTAATGGCAGTCAAGATTTGAGAGATCAGCTGCTTTTTGTCCCCTTCACTATATCACACCATTAATATTTAAGTTAGTGTCACATTTCAGTGTGTAAGACTTTATGGATTTAAATAATCCAGAAAAGTACCAAATAGCAAAACATGTAAACTAGAACAATGTTGCAAAAATAAAGCTCAAGAAGCTTTATTTTAGAAAACAACTGTCAGGCATTTAATGGCAGAAATGAAGTGAAAAGTGAAATTTATTAAAACAATGACATTCAATATTCATAAAATCAAAATATTAAGATTACATACCTAAGTTTTGCTTATTCAAGGCTACATTATCTATTTCTACAGAGGTTTTTATTGAAAAACTATATCTTAGAAATATGAGAAAGCATGTGAAGGCAAATATGAGACACAAAACAAATGTGGCTTAATTTTTTAAAAACTTCTTTATTCAGATTATATCAATGCTAATTTTAATAATGATATGTTTCTGTGCTAACATACCACATGCAAACATTTTTTTTTAATTGCTTTTTAAGATGAAAAAAACAATTCATTATTGAGCCCTCCTTGAGTTTCATTTTGGTAACTCATTTGTTGAATGATGACCTCTGTCACTAGTCGTTTTCATGTATGTGACTTATAAATATTTGAGAATAAAAAAAATGGACAGCTACCAATATCACATGACAACTATTCAATCAGTGTTTAAAGGTTAAAATCTCCCAAAGACCCAAATGTCAATCTCACCCATTTA